TCTCTCTCCCTATCTTTCTCTCTCTCTGCTGCTCTCTGCTGCTCTCTGTTGCACGGCCTATCACTCGCCACGATTCCTCTCCCTTGCTCCCATGTTTGCTCCCGCCACTTGTGCCAATGATACAAAACTCGTTACATGCGTTCGTGAACGTAATACGTTGGGCGTTAGGCGAACCCGTAGGACATCGCCATTATTGAATTCGTCAGCCTCGCGTATAAAAACAGACTTTATGGGACACTTGCTGTTTGACCATCTGCACGGTAGATCAAGCCCGACAGAGCGAGATGGCGAGCTGTAAGCGAGAAGAGGGTGTTCCTAGCCGCACCGCACTGCGGGAAGCCAGAACTGCGATCCATACGTCCCGCTTGATGGCCAATGTATATACCCGGCGATCAACAGTCGACCAATTTTTCTTTTTATCTAGATCGATCTGATTTCGACGAACGAACGTGAACGTTTATTCGCGCACAGCCCGCAATCCTTCGATGGATACTCTATCGCGGAGAAATATCTTTAGAGTTATCTTCGGATCGCGCAGTGAAAATCCGCGTTAACGTTCGTATTTTTCTTAGATATTTCATTGTTACAGTCTTTCTATTCACTCTTATTTAATACTGGGCTCATGGCACGCGACAATTTGACGCGTATTGGATTTCATAAGCAATATGTAAAAAATGCTTACGGCGATTTTGATTGATCGCAATAACGCAAATGTGTATGTTAATTGTCTAGCATTAAACTTCCAATTTCCAAAATTTAAATGAACGAATGTCAAGTTTTCTGAAGTTAATTGAATAAACTCTGCAGTAAATGTCCGTAAACCTAGTGTTAATATGAAGATGCAGGTTGTTACTCTGAATGACTATTTTCGGAACTGGTTTGTTATTCAGGGATAATGGATTTAAATATATATTGCTGCTAGTTCAAGACGTGTAGAGTATTCCGATTATAGGTATTTTGAAATACCTATAATTATATAATAATTTGAATAATAGTGTAAGGTTATATATATAATTTTTAATTTATTTAATACTATTATTCAATTATCTTATAATTTGATTTCTATATTTAAAATATATTTTATAATATTCATTAATTATCGATATTTGAAGCTGTAAAATATCTGACTCTTAATTATTAATATCACTACTATTAAAGATATAATTTTAACCCTGTTCTACATTAGTGAACGAAGAACGTCATTATTTATACTTCATATTTTTATTTCAAAGTTTAACAAAATTAAACTTAATTATATTTGTTTAAATGTTAAAAAAGATGGTTTCCATCAAGCAACGAGTAAGCTAACTGATAATCATCCTACAACAGTGAAAAAACAGCAGAAAATCATATCATTACCATTAAAAGATATTACTAAATAATTTTTTTAAATTTTGGTGACGACCATTATGTTAAACTATATTCGAATTTTAAGGGGTGCATATATTTTTCGCTTAACATTCCTTAATGTACAAATTGATAGAACTTTATATATAATTCAACATTTTCCCCCAGTAAAATACATTGAGCAATGCTACTTGTACCATGAACGTTATATTGCAAATTTATATTTGTGATAATTGAGTAACTATGTTAAGTTATAATATATCACGTTGTATTTGTGATAATTGAATAACTATATTAAGTTATAATATATCACGTGGTATTTGTGATAATTGAATAACTATATTAAGTTATAATATATCACGTTGCATTTGTGATAATTGAGTAACCATGTCGATGTGTGATAGAATTCTAGTAGTGTCTTCAAACTGGGGCTAGCAGCATACAAACAAAATTCCGTCAAAATTGATTGCGTTCCGCCCAGTGTGTTACGAATTGTCCCACTGGTGAGATAATACACGAGCAACGCCCCTACGCTTGAAAAGATCATTCCGGGTCGCTGCACATTGATTACTTCACCCCACTGTCATACTATCATCCACTCATGAACCTCAGATTGCTTGTATTAGCATAAAACCCCGAAACGGCAGGCAGCAAATTGTAATTGAATTTGGCCCCGGCTATGGCTCCTTCAAATAATAATCCACTGATTATTTCTCAACAAATTCCGTCTTACTTGTGCGAAAGTAACTTTGCTGCAGAATTTCCTGTATATATTTTCCGCCTTCAACAGTTTGACTTTCGACTTTCGAATTATTGTTAACATTTACGTGAACATTACATAATCATTATATTACTTTTCTTGGCGAGGTATCGAGCAAACCGAATTTTGTTGAATGTATGAGATATTAGAAAGATAGTAGAGCAATCGTTAGGAAGAATCTTGACTTTTCGTTTCAATTGCAATTAATTGTATTATCGTGTAGTGCCTAACATTTAATATGGACCTATGATTAAACTATGCATTTTCAGGTGTAGTAATTTACAACAGAGATATATTTCAATAAACATTTATAACATTTTTATAATTTATATGATATTTTACTATTTTATCAAATAATCTCTTATATTCTTGTTTCATCTCGGTTTTCTTCGTTAGATTTCCCTGAATTATGGTAATCAGTTCTGTGGTGTTGTACAACACATAATTTATCACACTTTAATCTGGAGTTTTGATTCATTTATCGGAAATGCTATTTTTATTGAATATATTTTAATGCTCAACCAGACGATATTTTCATAAATTGATTGATCATTAATGACGTCAGGTTTTAAATTTTCCTATTTGAGATATAAAATCACTCGTGCACACGAGAATATTGGAAGTATCAATAAATAAAGTATGAGAATGAAAAATATAAATGTTGTACGCACAGTTAACGATGCGAATAAACTGCGATTAAAAATGTAATTAATTGTGTCCCGCAATTAATTATATTCAGTTATTTTAAAACCACTCGCGCAATTCATTGCATTTTGTCGCGTCATTCGATTATTGAATTTTGTAAAACATCGGTCGGATTTCAATACGTTTTATCGCAATAATTATTTCATTAACAAAAATTCCCGGTTGATACATTAAGTTTTTAATCAAATTGTCTCGGAGTTCATTTATGATATTATAGTCTATCATAATGCATGTAAATGCACTTCCACCAATTTTCAGCATGTCATTAACCATTGCTCGATGAATTTTATTGCGAAGGGATGAAAAAATATTTTCATTCGCACGGGAAGCATTATAATCGTATCGATCATCATAAATATAATGCAATTTTCAATTTTTTAATTTAAATTAATTTAATTTTTTTATTAGCGATAACGAAACTTGTATTTAAAAGAAACAGCCATGTAAAGAAAATTACATTAATGCACAACTACTAGAAATTTAGTTAATTCAAGGCATGAGAATACTCTAATTTTATTTTCTGAAAAATAATTCAAAACGTCTGTGAAACGTTCATAATTATGGTTAAGTATAAAAAAATATTATTCCATACTTTCAAGTGATTCTTTTTTGCTTACTTATCAATTAAAAATTATATATTATTACAGATGGAATAATCAGGAAATAAAAACATGATGTACATAAAGCAATTATGGTTGGAAGTCATGATATTGAAAGTGTTATATCTTATAAGCAATAAGAGTAATTATATTTTCTTAAAATATAATCTAAACGGTTTAATATCTTTTAAGAAAGAATTATAATTAATTAACCTCTTCACACGCTTATAAACGAAAAATATCATAGGCTGTCGGTGTTTTAGATAAGGCATTTCGTAACCTCTTTTCTCTTTATCTGGTGCTTATTGAGAATATAATTATTCTAATTATTACAGAACGTCTCACATTAATTCATGCTTAAATTGTGTAAGCTAAGAAATAAAAATTACAATAGATATTATAATGCATCGAAAGTTTGAATGGAGACGTGTCTTTACGCATTGTTGTATATCTATGACAACGGTTCCAAAAATATCATGTTTCTTCGCAGAAATCACACTATTCAGGAAGATGTCACTACGTCAAGCCACAACCTGATCAAGTATTATTAATTATAGAACTGCGACGTCTCGCCCAAGAAACCAGACAATGGAAAGAAGGTCGTGATATATCCCATCTAGAGCGGCAGACAAAGAGAAAAAGGTCATGAAATATCTCGTCTAGATCGTCGGATGAATGAAAAAAAGGTCGCGAGATATCTCGTCTGTCATGTCGACAAAAGGAAACGTCCGCTTACGAGGTACCTCCTTCAAAAGCGTCGAGAGGTTAAAGTAACGTATTTGTTCGAAATACTCGAAATACCTTTCATATAGTTTCTAACGTCATCGAAGGCAAAATGTGCCGGTAGATATTTATGAAACGCTTAACCACAACTGTACTAAATTCTAAATCTATTTTGAACGAGTGAAAACACTCAGAGTTGACGGTTGAAAGTATATTTTTTACAAGATCTCTGAAACTGGGGTATGCAAAAAGGGAATCTAAATTATTCATTTCGTGGCGAATAATTTCAAAAAACAATTTCTTTTCTATATCCCCTAGTTTCAGAATCCTTCTGAAAAATCTACTTCCAACCCTCAACTTCGAAGGGTATTTTGACCCGTTCAAAGTGGATCTTCACCGATAAGAAAAAATTCGTGTCAAATATTTTTTTGAGAACTACGTCTCTCATCAGTTCCATAAAAATCGGTGTGTGCTGGTTGAACAGTCTCGCTTGTAAGAACAAGTGATATTAACACTAGATACATTTAACAACGTCTGGTACTCAGGACTCTACGTTCTACAAAGTATCCAAAATTTATCAAGATTAAGGTTGTGAATAATTGTAAACAGTTACCAACGAAATCTTTGATTAAAGTAGTTATCAATGTACTAAAATAATCATCAATGTAATCATCAGCGAAAGTGATAAAATGATGAAAATAAGATGTTCCATGCAGACAGAATAATTCCCTCGTCAATGAGTGATAGTTACCGCGCGATAGTGCAGAAAATATTCATATGTGTATAATATATCAAGAAAAGCGGACTCACAAAGAGGTGTGAATGTACCTGATGATGCGGCCGGTTATTCGGATGGGGGGTTGGCATATGGGCTCCATGGTGGTAGACGGAGACGGGGTCGTGCTTCAGAGGCATTGGGGTGCCTGCGTTGTGTTTTCCCAAATCCGCAGCCAAAGCCTCCGCCCTCGAAAGTAAGCCGTCTTGTAGACCGCTGTTCAAGCCCCCGAATAAGTCACCCTGAAACGTTAAAAGCGACGCGTGACACTGATTGAAGAATCATGGATCATGAGCGAGGTTCGACTAACAGCACTCTTTCAACAAAGCTTCGCGTCTTTTTAAACGAATTTAAATCCCATCAGACAAATCTCGTAGAGACCGTGATATCGTACAACCAGCCCGGTCTTCGGTTCGATGTGAGATTGAAGGATTTGGAAATGAAGGGTGGAAAACGGTCTGCCGAATCTTTTATACATGGTGTAACTGGAACGAGTAAACAGTCGATGTTCTAGTGAGAAAATAATCGTGTAAACGTTTCATTTTATGCGACGGAATGAGTGTTTATTTACATTAATCGAGAATATTTATAGGACTAAATTGGCGAGATTTTGACTGATTAATGATTCACTTGGGAAATGAATGGAAGTATAAGCTACGTAATGAACGTGTGTTATTAACACTAAAACTACCGAGCAGTTAGGTCAACTTTTTGAGATTTCTCTACAGAAATTCGAAGAGTGCATCTATTGAGACTTTATTTGATTTACAATTCAGTTTGCGAATTGCTAAATCAAATTCCTCAATCATTTCTCAGAAAAACGTCTATCCTCTTTTTAACCCTTTTCACTCGAGAGGTGCCTTTCAATCGCCATTTGAGTTGACCTAAGAAAATTATAAAATTAAAAATTCAATATTGAATTTTTCTATAATGCATCGACACATGGAACATCGAAATAAAATATTTCTCTCAATTTATTCAAGGTATTTCTTTATGTCGTAAAAAATATCATTGATACTTCATCAGAGAATGAATATTTGTTGAGAAAAATATTCTCGAGTGCAAAGGGTTAATAATCGCAAAAAGAAGAAATCAGGAATGGGTCATTTTGTCCTGTCTGGTAATTTTAATGTTAAAATAAATAAACGTAATATATATTAATAAGTAAATGTTTGGAATTGTGACGATTTTGCAATGATATTTTATGTTACTCGATCAGATGTGTATACTGTGTACTTTCTATATATAATAATTGAAAATAATGCTATTTTTGTTTAATAATTAAAAAGAATTAGATTTATATTCATATTTGCATCGTTTGTTTTTTGTAGTTTGTAGTTTTACGATGAATCAAATATTTTCAATTGCTAAAGGATCAGGGCTTCGTGCTTGTCATTCTAAATGGTTCATTAAATTAGTTCGTAAGTATCTGTCAATATTTCTCTTGGAAATAATATGATTTTTATCAAATTTTCTTCCTATTTATTATTTCTTTTGTAATAATTTTAGGTAAACTTGAATATTTATGTTTGCTCGTAGAATATTAATTTTCAGATTATTGTTAATATATTGAATATTCACGTATGTGAAAATCGTATTTGTTAAAAATTCCGGTTGAAGTCGTTTTATGCAAATATGTATGTACGTGGTTCGTTTATATAAAAGTATCCGGTCAGAGGTCACTCTTACGGATTCAACATGGCCGTCCGATCGATATACTAAAAATAGTTTTGACACTGGAAACTTGAATTTAGCTTTTCGCCAACTTTGAATCGCACGAAAGCTTAATTAAACTAGAACTTGTCCTACAACAGCTAATTAAATTACAATAATTAGTTACATAATTAAAATTAGATACGTTGTATTCATACAAAAAATTTAACAATATTATAAAAAGTACATTATTAAAATCCATACATTTTTACTGGTACAACAGTAAAATACTTTTTACTAATACATCTATTTTATAATTGTTATTAATTACTTTAATATATAGCATTATAGATGTTAATATTGGTCTTTCTACTTCATTTCATAGATTCTAACTTCTCAAAGTTACATAAATACATATTCATAAAATTGTTGAAAATTCAAAATTGTTTTGATATCATCAAAAGATTATTTCCAAACGTAGCGTGATAATATCTTTCCAAAAAAAATGAAATTTAAATTGCAATCAATTCTTCATAATTATAAGCGACCTTATTTATTTACTAGCTTCTTTCTTAAGTTCAATGTACGTGAAACGAAGTATATTTCGTTATTACTCGCTCTGCTAAAGCTATTTCAAAGGCGACTACGTGTGACCTACGGGATTCGCTAATCAAATTCGTTTGATCATCAAACATCCCAAGGGTTGCCGGACAGGATATTTTCGGGTCAGAGTGCTGCTAAAACTGGACAAGTGAAAGGGTGTGGAGAATAATCCTTTTTATTAACTTAGATATAGACTTCATAATTATTTATGACTTCATGTCTAATAGAAGCAGAAATAACTCTCATTTTCCTATAGATTTATGTAATTTAATCAATTTCAGACATCAGAAATATGTTTTTAAATGAGTGATTCACAGAAAAAAATAAAGCTAACACTAAAAAATGCAAATCCAATTTCTACTTTATTTTATATTAATAAATTTTGTATCTAAATATGACAAATAAATATTAAATTGAATTTTAGGACTCTCCTAAATTATAATAACATCAAAAGCATACATATATTTGTATTAAAATTATACAAAAATATTGAATGTTCCATTCTAGGTGTAGACTTAAGTTTCGCTGAAAATAGTCTGCTGTATGCTTCTTATTCCTCATCACAACTGTTCAATTACACATTGATAATAAATTATGACTATATAATTCAATTTTATATGTGAAAGTTGTATTTTATAAAAATCATGTTTTACAGGTTATAACGTTACACAGAGAACTTAACAGGAATATCTGATCTGAGCCAATATTTTTGTTACTGTGAACAATTTTAAAAATCATATTGTTACGAAAATTGTGCACATAAAGAGAGAACACGATGAGTATTTTCACTAGAGTAGGTTTGACATTCGTTTACGTTATCGTTCAAGCATTGTTAGCATTAATAACATGTTCGACATTTCCCAGTAAAGAGTCGGCAATTATAAAGTCGTACCGTTGATAACAATACTTTGTAATTTAAGATGACAATGATAAATCGCGTAATTTCATAGGAACAATGACAAATGACGAACGATCAAGGCTGAAAGGGTATTACGATCTCTTTTTCCGGGGACGTATTAATAACAGTTGCGAATCGAATTCATGGCTTGGTTTTGTCTAGATACGCCTCTATACCGTGGCAATCGATATTATATGGGATATTTTACGTCAACTGCATCTGTCACCCACGGCACATTGCAAGGTTCGTCTGCCACGCGAGGACTATTGTCACATTGTTCAAAGAAATTCGAATCGATTTTAATACGTAACGGTTTGAATGTTTTTTTTCGACGTCTTGTCAAATTATTATCACGAATACGAGACATCGTATTATGTTAGTATGTTATCGTTGTAAAGTTCAAAATAAATGTCGTTCGAAGTGCTCTTATATGTGATGGGATTATTTTATCAACAAGTTTATTGTACAATTGGATATGTATAGATATTTATATAAAAATTCACTGAAAATCGGAAACAAAACTTTTTCTATAGCTAATATATAATACGTGCGAATGAATGATTTATATAAACTAGTTACTTATTAATTATTGTTTCGCGACTTATTTAGTTTTGATATTATACAAGTAAAGCATTTAATATTCCAAGATAAACAATTTATTTATTTTCAACGAGGAAAAGTGCATTACAGACATGGAACTTAAAGTCTATTTCTGAAAGCAGTAAAATAGTCAACATGATTCTCTTCATTTTGAATTAATTTTTGTATAAGCACGAATCAATTTTTAATTATAGAGACTCTATGGTTATCTCTTAATATTATACAAAGCAGAAAACTTGTGTAATATTTGTAAGACGCTTAACAGACATTCTAATTCGGCTAGAAGTAACTATAAATTACACTAAATCTGTGATTCAGTTAACAAACAGCTTTTCCTCAACGATTTCCGAAATCATAACTCCGTAGTATAATAATTTTGTCGGTGTCGATTCTCATACTTGTTTTATAAAATATCAACAGAGAGATTGATCGATTGCCAAGACCGTTCAGAGGGAATTCTCTGTACCATTGAGTTTCATTAAAGTTGTATTCATCCATTACAAACAATCCGTCTCAACAAATCGTTTCTCACTTACTTTCAACTGCTTTCAAAGTGTCTTGCGATTTAATGGTATACACTTATCTGCATATCAATTAATTTTGTTTAGATTCGAAGCAAATGAGATTAATGATACGTAATTACATAATTTTGAAATAGTTATCTGAGTCTACAACATTTTATCTGCATTTGCTCCTTAACATTAAATCTACATCGACCGGTCAAATGATTGGTTTTAAAATTTGGTTTAAACTTTCGCGTTTCCTTTTATTTATTTAACATTTGCATTCGAGAAGTGACTCGGTTATTGATAAAATTATAAACTTCGATATTTAATACCGAACTTTGTACGCTGCACATGAAATATAGAAGTAAAATAGTCTTATTTCTTAATTTACGAATAAATGATCGTTGAATTACTTTCAACAAACTTCGTCTAAATTTTATTTAAAGAATGTATATTTCTAGTTAAAAACTTTCGAGTGCAATGGGTTAACTCTACATCGATTCCGATATTGCCCGAATAATCAATTTTTCAGATTTTGTCCTTCCTTCTGTTTCTGTTTTCAATCAAATAAATTTATCACCTAACTTGTTTACTGTTATTTTATAAGAATTTACTTGGCTGATTACGGCGGAAATTAATATACAGAAAGTGTTGGTACGTTTTGTGCGAATATTAAAATAATAATTCTTATTTACTTTCTGTCTGGTTATTCAGCCAGATCCTTTGTGTATTTAAAAGTAGATACAAATTACAGTTGAAATAATTGAAAAAACTGAATAGTAAATACAAATAATTTAAATAATTTGAATTTATTTAACACAGTAAGTATACCACGAAAATCTTGAGCTTTTTAACACTAGAACTGTCGAGCAATTAGATTGACTTATTTCCAACTTTCTACCAAAACTAGGACAACGCGTTTCTAGAGATCCGAAAGGTCTGCTGGTCTGGTATCTGTGCAAATACACAAATTTAATTGAAA